GATCCGTTGCCGCAAAAGGAAAAAAAAAAAAAAAAAAAAAAAGACATAAAAAATCTAACCCAGATGAGGTTGTACTTTTTTAAAATATGGTTTTTGAAAAAGCAAAGGTATATTTTCATCAGCATAAAAGGTGGGAGGAAATGTTCACGTAGCCAGAAATCTTATGTGTGCATTAACAAACAGTGGGCAGGTAAATGTAGGCTGGGAACATGTGCATGATGATTGAACAAATTCGTGTTGTCCTCCAGGATCACTATAGTCCCAGGAGTCACCCTGTTGGTGCTTCAGTAAAGCAACTTGATATGAATGAAGTTACTGTAGTAAATCATCTTAGTTCAGCACTTTTTGAAGTGGGTTTATACTGACTACCTCAGGGTATAGGCAACTTCTTAATAACGGACCCAGGAATTCCTGTAGTTTTAAATTCAGCTAACCCAATGTATGTATAGAGGACCCAAGAAACAAAGAAATGATCTCCTACGTCATTCCTTGCATGTCTTAGCTCATCATACTTTACAAGAACAACGCATTGTGGAAATAGAGAAAACGATCTGGTTTCTCAGTTCCTCGCTGCTCTGCACTGTCTCTGCTTCTCTGTAAAGAACGATGTGTGCTGGAGCCAGCTTGGTCTTCAGCACAGAGAGAAGCCCAGTGTAAGGATGAGTGGAAAGGCAAAGGCAGCCCCAAAAGAAGAAAGCCAATGGCAGTGCCACCCCTTACGTCCTCCAGCACCAACACAGGCTGTTTCCAGGTGTATATGCAGAGCATCAGTGGGAGCTGTGTAGAGAAGCTTGTTAGCTGGGTGCTGGTGGCTACAAGCAAGAGACCCATCTTCACGTGCTTCTCACTTTTGTGGGTAATTCTGCAGATATATCCAAACCCAAGGATTCTAGTAAGAACTTAATAATGTATGTGGGAATATTAGATGCATTTATAGAGAGAATCTGTTAGATTCATATAAGACACTGGAAAGGGACAATTAAAGTGACATCACTTGTATCACCAGTGACTTCACACGATTAAAATGGGGAACAGAGTGTATAAGAAGGTATCATTTAACTAAAGTTAGACTTATCATTTCAAATGGATAATGGAATAAAGAGGGCAAAATGAGTAAAGAAGGAGAGAGGAGATGTAGTAGAAGAGAGAATAGGACAAGAACAATTGTCCTAAGATCCTGGCACATCCCCCTCCCCACCCCCCAGGAAGATTGTGTTGTGCCCTTTAGCTCAGGTAAGCAATCCACCTAAGCTTTATTTGTCAAAAGTCTGTTTGCCTCCCAAGCTCTAGTCTGTGGCCTGCTCTCCTGGAAATTTGACTAGTTTACAAGGGAGATAGACTCAGATATGAATGTGAAATTCATAGAGAACCATTGGCTTCAGCCAGTGTGAATTGCAACCAGTGGCTGTGAATTACCTGAATGACTTGCCAATAGGATGAGAGCAGAAGGTGGGATTGTTAACCAAGTAACCTTTTTGTGTTTTTTCTTCTCCTCTAATTTACAAAGAATCAAGGGTTTTTCTGGGTAATAAAATAAAATGATCCTTTATTAGTTGTCACAAGGCAGGCGCTATGACTCTACTTAATTTTTGAATTTTAAGTCCTTTACATTTCACTATCTGAAATATGCTTTTATATATATCATACCTATGAATGTATAATTACTTATCCCCAAACATTATAACATTTTAGAATATTAATGACATGCATAAGTAGGCAATTAATAATCCATATCTTCATTTCAAAAATACAATGACTTGCAATGAAATAAGAAACCCGTGATATATATAACCAGTGCTCAGCACAGAACTTCTTCATAGAAGTAAATAGATTTCCACTTCTTATGGGTCTATTGAGAATGATAAAATACCAAACAAACATTATCATTTGAAATTCAGTAGGCCTTTCAGAAGGTAGAGAAAGCACATTACTTAGTTCACTGATTCTATAAATTCTAGTTTCCTTAAAAAAAAATCATCTTGTGAATGAAAGATCCATTTACATTTAAGTTTTTTATATTCTTGTTGGAGAATCTTGATTTACAGAGTCAGAGTTTTGTTAATTCTGCCTGACATTCCAAATTTCATATAAATACAGTGTTCTGACAGTTTAAGTACATCAAAGAATTATGCCCTTCAGTACAGTATCATACACCTTGGTTAGGAAAAAATCAGAATTCCATCCACTTTTGCTCAGCTAAGGCACAAAGAAAAGACAGGGAAACCTGTTGTTTTCAGTATAACCATTTTTGTGAGGTTGATCGGTTAGGAAAGGAATACTGCTTTATTACATTTTCACACTTTTGGACAAGAACCGAGTCACTCTGCTAGTGATACCAGGTACTCAAGCATCTGAACAGGTCAGGGAGGCTGGCACTTTTATAATCAAAAGCAGGAATCTCTGCTTGTAGGGGTTTTTTTTTGTAAAGGTGTACATGTCTTATTAAAGTTCAAATGGCAGCATACAGTCAAGTTGTATTTGAGGGAACTGAGCTACCTAATTTCTTAAGAGAATAATGGTTTACAACAATAAGTCATCACTTATTGGTGTACGGGGTTAATGAGAACTAGTGTGGAACAGGCAATTGAAGTGGCATTGCGGGTATCACCAATAACTTCATAAAATTAAATGAATTTATTTAATGGAGGCCTCAGGATGTAAGAGGGTCTCATTTAGCTAAGGTTAGATTTATTTCCTCAAATAGATAAGAGAATAAAATGGACATAATGAGTAAGGTAGAGGGGGAGAATGTAGTAGAGGAATTCTCTAGAATTATTAACTGCTGATCAAGTTTTACAAATCTTTCAGATCTGTGGAGGAAGGGAAGAAAATATTTACTTATAAAAAATACTTTTAAAAGAAACCTCTATTAAGCCTCATATGTCTTTGCAGACAGCAGTAATTGGGCATGTGTTAGGATAGATCGGTAGATGTGTTACACAGCAAACAAAGGTGAACTGCGTCTGTTAACCTGGGTTGAAAGAAAAGTTTTTCCTT